CTGGTGACTTGTCTGGCCTTTCCTATTTAATGGAGGAGCTTGGAGAGAAATTAGGGAACTGCTCCTAACAGCCAGTCTGTGCAAAAACACAGTAAAGGTTTCTCTCTGCCATTCTGTGAATAAAACCAGCATTTGATAGATCTCATGCTCCTGCTTAGCCAAAGGGAGAATTTGCTTACCGTGCTTAAGCTTAACAATGAATTAGCCATATATGCCTGCTTGTTTCTAGTAGGAAACCACTTCATTAGTAAAAAAAATCTTTAATTAAAGCAGACTATGCTCATTCTGCTTTGGGTTAATTTGCTGAAGCTTAGGAGGAGAATGATGAACTCCTAGAAATCATCTCAGCTAGCTCAAGAGGTGAACTGGAAAACTTGGAAGAGCTTTTTGATGTGCCGGAGCTCTGCATATTTGATTTCTGGCAGGGCTGAGTGGTGCAGTTTTCTATGTAGGCTTTGGATTGTTTGAATAGTATGCGTAATGAAGCACTTTGTAAATTATATCCCTCTGGGGGGGACTTGAGTTTGGAGAACATCAGGTGGAAAGTTTGGGTGTATGTCTGAGGTGCTTATTTGGGCTTACTTTTTCCTTGGGGAAAAGTTATGAAACTAATTAACTTAATGGGTCGGAAGGGTTTTTCTGGCACAGTGAGGTAGAGAAAGTAGACATCCTCTGTCTAAGCATCATGGTCTCATCCTTTTGGGGATGTGTTTTTTAAATAGGTTTCCTGGCCTTGGGGCTCTTCTGACCTGTGCTGTGGAGCTGTACACATTTTTACTTTGAAGTGATGTTAATCTAGCTGTTTAACGTTCTCTTCTGCCCTGCCTTTCTCATCTCAAGCAGTCCAGTGTGCTCTCTGGCTTCCCTTCCTAAATAAAGGAAGGGCAACCTCATCTCATTCCAGGCCTTAGCATTGTTTGTATTGATCTGTGGACATCCATTTTGGTTCACTAATGGGCATCAAGTGGAAAAGGTAATACATTTCTATTGCACTTGAATTAATCTCTCACTTGGTTCCTTTGGACCAGCTCCAGGATCTCATTAAGAACAGAAGACACTGATCATCTTAAAGGATGGGAGGGGGATCTGACCGTTCAGGCATGACGACTTGTATCTCTTCCCCATGAGTTGAGCAGTAAAGCCTATAGAGGAAGGGGAGAGTTCAAGGAGTCGCTCAATGGATTTAGTTGTTTAAGGTGCCTTGAGCACTGGAGAATAACTGCAGAAAGTGGAGTGTTAACATCCAGAGGAATTCCTTGTACTTCGTTAGCAGTTGTTGGGGAGCACATAGGAGAGACAGGTTCTTCCAGCACCTAGTGATGCTTCTGATGCTTTTCAGTAACTGAGCCCCAAATCTACCTTAACACAGCTCTTTCCTCAGTGCTTAAGACAAATGTAAGTTTCAGACCCAGCTGCTTCAGTGCTCAGGGATCTTGTATCAGTTCTTGCCATGGTTTGAGGTGCTGCTGTTTTGCCAATTGGTTCTGGTGCATTCTAATTTGCAGAAGACACCTGTTCCTTAATTGTCACCATCCTTCGTCCGTCTCTTTTTGTTTCAGCTCTTTCTGATGCATGAGCAATTAACGCGACTTGAAGGGAGGCTGTGTTGAGCAGTGTGTGTGTTGGGAGAGGAGGTTGAAAGATATTGGTCACAAACTTGAGAATAATTTCCAGTAAGAGCATTGGTGTCTACTTGGTTTGCTCTGGGTCCTTGACCTATGTCTCTCTTTATACTAAAGTTTATTTAGTCCTTTGGGGTTTGTGTACAGTCTGTAGAGGGCAGAAGAGGGTGGAAGGAGTGTGGAGTTAAGCTGGAAAAGGAACAAGAAAGGAACAAGGGAGTGAAGATTAAAAAAGACTTATAACTGCCTGGTTTACTCCTGTGTTAAAACTGAAAGTGTCTTCACTGTTAAGACTGGTTTAGCTCTTAGTCTTGCCAGTTATGCCTGTGTTGTTGTATTCTGTGTGATTTCAGCGTTTCCTCCAAGGATCCTCAATTGCTTCACAAATCTGAATTCTGTTCATGCTTTCTGTCCCTTTTTTTTTTTTTTTTTTTTTTTTGCAAGCGGGAAAAAAAGACGACTTGCCATAAATGATAGCCTCGGGTCAGAATACATCTTGACCAATCGACATGTGAAACCAAGGGTTCTCTCCTCTGGTCCCCTTCTGGGTTTACTTTGGTCGTCTGAGAATACTTGTGATGCAAGGCGTTTCCAATTTGCCTTGCAGATATTCTGAAACAGTCTCAAAAAAGGTTTCTTGGGGTTGTACTAGTCTTAAAATAGCTTGGATTCATTTCTGTCACTGACTCTGGGGCTGACAGAGACCTTGAGGCTCAGCAGCCTGCCCTTTTGAGTCCCAGTTCTTTCCTTCTGGTGACACCTTTTTTTGGAACTGCTTTAAGTCGTCATAGAAAAGAGCAATGTGTAAACATTAATGTTGAGTATTTGTCTTTAAAAATCCCTTTGGGATGCTCGACACATCTGTACCATGTATGTTGTGATTTTCTAGATATTGCTTGCTTTTGGACCTGTTAGTATATCACTAGCTGGTGCCGTCCCATGGATCTTGGGCAGGGCTGTTTTCTGTAACACCCATTTTGTCTCCCTGTCACAAGCAGCTTCTCTCAGTTTGTGTCCAGACCTCGGTCAAGGTCTGTTGCCTTCCTGCAGTAAAACCTTTCCTTTTCTCTGTCCAGACTAGGTAGGGCTCTGAGCACCACTCCGTGTCTCTCAGTATGCAACTAAGAGGGCAGTGAGGAAAGTTCTCTTCTCATTGACAGTGTCTTTAATTTCCACACTGAATGAAGTTAATTCCTATGAGTATATCTCTCTGATTCCAGACCCCCACCCCCTTACTTTGCACAGGTTTTCAGCTTCCAAGTCAGCAGTTTAACTGTTACACTATAAGCTTCCTGTGGTAAAACAAGCAACTTAGAGTATGGGGGGGAAAAAAAAATGTTCTGGGCAGACCTGGCTCTGTTGCTGTTCAGCCTGGGACACCCTGAAGCTACCCCATCAATGTTAATGCGAGCAGACTGGTCATGGCTATTGCTATCCAGACTTAAACTGAGCACATACCCGGACAAAGAGGCCACAGTTTAATATTTAACGTTCCATAAGGCTGCACTGAGAGCTTTTACTGAAATGTGTCAGTAAAGGCGTGCTGTAGCAGTGATAGCAAACGGCTGAGAGCCAACAGGATCCTGTGCTCTGCTTCTGCCCAAGGCATGTTCTCTGATACCAAGCAGCTTGCTTGACCCCCTGTGTCTCAGCCAACCTAGCTGTAAAATCAAGCAACAAAGAATGCTCCATGACAGACATGTCTGGAGGTGAACTTTCAAGGCAAGCTTTGCTTTACTGATAAATCTGTGGTACTAGCAGAATTTCTGGGTTTGAACCTAATGTGTGGGTTTTGTTGTCCTTCCAGGCAGCATTCACTCTCCTCCTGGGTCCTTTCACCTTCTTCAATGTGCAGAAGACCAAATATCTTCAAATCATGACGTCCCTCATGAGATGGATAGGTGAGTCTTGGACACCTCTTTACCATAGATGGAACCTGAGTCACGCTACTGATGCTTTTCCCCCCTGTGCCCCCAAGATATTCTTGTTCGGAAGCAGTTGTTTGTCAAAACAACCTCTTTGAAGAGGATTGTCCAGACCTGATAAATCTTTGAGGAAAAGGATTTTTGTTCTAGGATGAGATTTCTGATTAAAACAAAAAAAATTGTTCTCAATCGGACATGAGCTGGTAGATGAAGTTTTAATCTGGTTTGTGTGAGAGGCAGAAGGGATTTGGAAGAGTCTCCTGTGGGGGGGGGCTAAGTGTGATACCCACCAATTGCTGTTCAGCAGCAAGTTTCTCATTGTCTCAGCATGTGTGCAACAGACTTGGAACAATCTTTGTTTTGATCTGAGAACAAAAGCCACTTCTGTCAGACTTTCCACACTTAGTTTTATCATCTGTTTGCATTTTGTTTTTTCCTGGGCCTTGCTTTGGCATAGGATGTGCTGCATTGGAAACCCCCAAACCAATGTGTGTTGTCCTTGGGAAACCCTGTTCTTGTGGGTTCTCAAAATCTTGCTGCCAAGAACTTCTGGAAAGACAGATAATCCCCTTCAGGGAAATAAGATACAGCGCTGCTTTTTTTTTTTTTTTTTTTTTTTTTTGCAGTGCCTTTGTCATCCAAAGAGGCAGTTGCCTTGCATCTGGCTTACATGTGTATATGCCCTTAAAGGCTGAGAGGGGTGATTGTGTTATGGAGGCTTATGTTGAGGTTTGTCTTGTTTTGTGTAGCCTAGACAGATTAACTGATGTTCAGGACTAATGGAGAGGGTGTTACAGCACCAGCAGCATTTCTGCAGGTTAACAGTCTCTTGGTTCATGGGTCCACACCATTCAAGCACAGAATTAGCTCTGTTTATACCTATCATTGACCTGGCATGGGAAGAAAAGCTGATTCTCTGACTATTTCCCATCACACACATATCCTTGACCTGACTTCAGTTGGCTGTTGTCCCTTTTCTGTGAGTTCAAAGGCCTGTGATCCTGTTTGGAAGTGGCTGGCAGTCACTACGGAGGAATAGAGATCCTCTGTTCCAGAGAACATCCGAGATGGGGTTAAGCAGTTGTCACCCAGGAAAATGAGGTTGGATTTTAAGCCCTCAAGTCTCAGATGCTGAACAGCTTGAGTTAACAAATCCTGACCTTGGATGGTGTGAAAATCCTGAATGTCTGTTTTTCCCTTTTGTTGTCTGAGCACATGAAAGGTTTGAAAGCTCCCATATTCTTCAGAGAAAGAAGATATCTCATTAAGGGGTATTAAAGAAAGTTGGGGTCTTCTTGGGTTGCTTTTCTTATTTTATTTTAAAAGAGCAGTCTCTGCTCAGCTCACTGGCCTGTTTCCAATCACCCTGCTGCCTCTTTCCAGGTAAAGACATCAGTCAGACCTCGTCCCGTCTCTGTGACAACCTGATGCCTGCCTGATCTGCCATTGGTTTCCCTTTTAGCTGGCTCCTTCCAGTATGAGGATTGCTAAACCTTGGCATAAAGGCAGAGCTGCTTTTCTTTTTCATCACTTGATGGAGACGGACAAAGACAGTGTTTGGAAAAGTGTAAGGGAAACTTATGCTTTAGCCTGATTGATTCCTGCGTCAGCACGCTGGGGAACAGCTGCCCCAGATAATGATATTTAATGACCCTGACAGCACCTCAGTGGCTACTTAGAGCAACGGATTCCGTATATGTACAATGAGGGATAGATTTATTAGGAAAGACAATTTATCAAACAGTCATGTGATGCAGGGAACAGAGAAAAGCTCTTGCTGCAGATTCTGGGATAAGGATGGATCCCGTTCTGTTTAGATTTATCAAGCTGACTTCCCCATGTCCTCACATAGCTGCTGTCCCCTCTTCCAAAAGCAGTGCTGTGAGTTAAACGTGGGTTGGTCTTTTGTCAGTGCTTAGCAAGTTTAGATCCTAAAGAATGGTCTTGGCCAGTGTTTTGTGGTTTCCTGAACTTGTCCTGCCTGGATGCCAATGGCCAGATGTGGATTCCTGTCCTGCTATAATCTGTGCCTTTTTCTTCATCTTCCTTTAGTTGGTTTTAGCCATATGGTGCTGAAGGTGGTTCCCCTTCTGCCAAGCACCCTGAGCAGCAGAGCTGAACACCGGAGCTGCCAGCCTACCTGTTTGTTTTGCCGGGTAGAATCTTCCCACAGGGATGGTGGCTTATTCAGCTTACCTGTGCCCGCTGGCCTGACGTGGATGGGAAGCTGACCCATGCTTTGCATTGCGATTTGAAAAAATTGAGCCTGTTTGAGCTGGGAGGTCAGCACAGGCTTTGCAATGCATGTAGCACAGGACCCACCATACACGCTTTACCCCAGCCTGGTGAAAAGGCCCTGGATTTTGGAGCGGCAGTGGCTGATGTAAGGCTGCACTGCCCCAGGTGTACTGGCAATTCAGATGACAGTGGCTGAGAGGATGGTTCTTGGCAGCAGGGAGAGCTAGCTGTGTGTGAAGGTCATTTCTGCTGGCGTTTGTAACACTGTCAGCCTTGCCTTTGAAAGTTGCTTTCCCTCTTTCTCCTGATCTAAGTGATAATCAAATGTCACCAGCCTCTTTCCAGAGCCTCGTGCTGATTGCAAGCAGCACATCAGCTAACAAAGCCTACAGCGATCTCTTTCCACACCTCATAGACAAGAAAAATTTCATTCTGTCTCTGAAAAATGCAGTCTTAAACACTGGGACCTGAACTGGAAATTAGAAATGGGACAGTTTAAAGAATGTGGAGGTGCAGCAGGGATCAGCGCCTCATCAGGCTGTGGTTTTTCCTCCCAGGGTAAGGGGCTAGCCAGGACAGGCACTTCTGAAGTCTCAAAAAGTAGAAAGTTGAAGGAGGAGCTTGCAAGCCCAAGTGCCGTACTGCTGGAGCGCCCAGACAGACAGGGCTGGCATGGCAAGGCGTTTCCCTGTCAGGACCGATAGGAGCACGGAGGGTGGATCTGCGTCTCCAGGTGGAGTGGGGCTGATGGCAGAGAGGGAGCTTCCAGAGCCATCGAGCTGTTGGCAGTCTTCTGAAGAGTAACAGCTTACACGCTTGGCTGCAAAACAGATTGCCATCTCGTGTGGGTGGGTGCCAATGGTTAAACTCAGTGCAGCAGTTGGTGCTTGAACTGCTGGCCTTATCTGTGCTTGGAGATCTCTGTTCTCACAGAGCTGGTGGGTGTGTAAGGGTTTGCCTTTCCCAACTGTATAAGCTTCTCAGGCTGCTTTGTCAGCTACTCATGCCCAAACTGCCTTGGGAGACTGAGCGCAGGCACCCGAAGGGGTGTGACAGGGAGCCTGTCATCTGTGCTTCCCTGGAGAAGGGGCTAGTTGGGGAAAAAATCACTTGTTCTGTATCCTGGTAGTGGTGCATAAGGTGAAGCCTTGATTTGAGTTAGGGATAAAACCTTGCTGGCTCACCCAGCTCTTGAGCAAGGATGCTAAGAGCAGAGACAGGGCCCAGACTGGTTGACCAGGTAAGTACTAATCGTCCCCTTGGGGTAGAGAGGGTTCCTTCCCCAGACTGTAACTCCTTCCTTCCTTTCAGCTCCCTTCCACCTCAGCCTTGCAAGTGTGGAGCTGTTATTAACCCAAGTCCTTTAACAGTTTTGGAGCCTGCTTCCAGGCCTTTTAGAAGGTTCTTGGAACAGGGCGTCTCCTGCAGAAGACTAAACCAACTAAGCCATCAATAAATTAGAGCTGTTGGTATTTTCAGTTCTGCTGTTTGGACTTCAGGCTCTTTTTTTTTTCTTGGAGGGTTTAAATCTGTGGTGGTGATGGATTGCTCCCTAAAGAGACTTGAATATCTAGCTGGTTTTTTTTTTTTTTTACCCTCCTTTCTTCAATCCTGATCAAGCAGGTGGTGTTAGGGGTGAGCTGATGGAGGGCATGGCACAGCAAAAAGGACTGAGCCAGGCAAGCCTGCACCTTTTGAAGCAGAGGGGACGCAGCTCTCTGGGGCAGAGCCCTATCTCTTTATTATTGGATAATATTGGATAATAACTGTCTAGCAGCGTCATGGGAAAGGATGTGGATTAGGAAAGATAACAAAAGGACAGGGCTTGTTGGAGCTCAGCAGCAAACACTGGGCTATTGTGTATTAAGCAGCTAACCTGATTAATTGCAGCCTGCTACAGCCTGAGATGCCCAGCTCTATAGGTGAGGACTGTTGGCTTTAAAGACATTGGTAGCATGATTATTGCTGCTGTTATTGAAGAGTCTCTGGCACATGTTCCCGGACAACTCCCACGTGGGACATTTCCTTTATGTGCTGCTCTTGATGCTGTATTGTAGTTATTAGAAAGTATTGTATTTTAATAAAGAGACATTTATAGAGGAATAAACTTCTAGGTTTGGTTGATGCAGGCTTGGTTCTCTCTCCCTATAGTCCCGTCAGGTCATACCACATCCATTCAAGTGACTGCAGACCTTGAGACAGATCATTCCCAACCTTCCCAAATTATGATCTTGCAATTATATGCCCCAAAATAAAATCTCTCCCCTACCTCTTTCCACTGGCCAGCAAGATGGAGAGGAAAATGGACAAGAATAGCCAGAAAATGTGTTAAGCTTTTTTTTTTTTTTTTTCCCCATTCCCTCCTGTCCTGTCCCACCCCCCATCCCATCCCCTTCCAGGGTACTTGGTAGAAGGCTTCTAGGCAAGAAACTAGGAAAGGGCTCTCCAAAGCATGCGGGTGAAGCTGACTTTCCTTATCTACTTGTTTCTCTGATACTTCTGCTTCTTCCACCAGAATCCTGCTCTTTACAGGACTCCTCAGCACTTCTCTGCAGAGAACTGGTCTCGGACCATCTCACTTTGTGAGCAGGTTTCAGCTGCTGTAGTAACTGTTGCTGCCATCCTTAGCAGGCTTAACCAGCCATGCTGGAGTTGGTTCAGTGCAGAAACACAGAGTTGCTCCGCTACACCCTTTCAACTGCAGCTGCAGAGACTGAGAATTATAGTGGAGGCTGATA